CCCTGTCGTGGGCTTGAGGGATAAGCCGATCGCCAGCCCTGAGTGCACCTCAAAATACTGCTGCCTACTCTCTTTTAGGCTTTGTGCAAAACAGAAGCGAGTTTAAATAATTCTATTTTCTTAGACACTTCTGGGTTTTTTCATATTTTGAAAGGTTTAAGTCTCTGCGTACCCCCTTGGAATCACATCCAGATTATATCACATGATAAAGCTAAATATGAAACAATAGGTGTAGAATGAGCTCCACTTTGGGGAATAATTTAAATGCAAAGATTCTGAACAAAGGCAGGTGCACCATAATTGCCTGTCACAGTGACTGCCATGGGCAGCAGAGGGGGAAATAGCAGTCCTTTTTCATTGTCTGTGAAGCACGTGTCAATATTAGTTAGACTTTTTAAAAAAAAGTTAGCTTAGTCTGCGTCTTAAATATTGCACTGGCGTATTTGTGAAAGGGTGTGTGTGTGAGTTTGTGTGTGAATGTGTGAGAGTGTGTGTGTGTGAGTGTGTGTGAGGGTGTGTGTGTGTGAGTGTGTGTATGTGTGTGACTGAGTGTGTATGTGTGTGAGTATGTGTGTGAAGATGTGTGTATATGTGTGTATATGTGTGTGAGTGTGTGTGTGTGTGTGTGTGTGTGTGAGTGTGTGTGTGTGAGTGTGTGTGTGTGAGTGTGTGTGTGTGAGTGTGTGTGTGTGAGTGTGTGTGTGAGTGTGTGTGTGTGCAGAAGCTGGAGGAGAAAGTTGGGTGTCATCCTTCATTGCTCTCCACCATACCCACTTGAAGCAGGGTCTCTTGCTGAACCTGGAAGCAGTCTAGTGACCAGCAAGCCCCAGTGATCGTCCTCAAGCAACTGTACCTGATTTTATGTGACACTGGGGGTCCAGACTACAGTCCTTAATTAAATTTTTGAAAAGCCAAAATATTTTGCATGCAAATCATGCAAATGTTGAGAAGCTGAGTCGGAGTCTTGGGTGTTACCCTCTCTCTTGAGACTTTCTCTGCCCTACCCCAGAATAGCTCCAGTAGCTTTTCTGGGTTGCCCTCACATGCTGTTTCTTTAAAGTTTCAATAACTGTGTTTACATCCATTTTCATACCAAACCATGTCCCCTGGCAAGCATGAGTTCATGATGGGAGAGTTTTGGCTGGCAGCAGGGTGGAAAAGTGTCGTTACACCAATGAGCAGCAGGTATGTATGCAGCTTACATGACAGGCCGTGAGCTAGTGTTTCCTGTCTATAAAAGCAGGTCACACCTGGACGGTGAGCAAGCTTCTGCAGAGGAGGAGAAGGAACAGCAGCAGCATGCTGAAGGCCGTGAGGTAACTTCCATCTGGAGGGTTCATCTACGCTCCTGTTTGCTAGGAGACACATAGACAGGATGGCCAGGGTCCATGGTGCCATGATCACTTACTCTGACAAACTCAGTCCAGGTGCAGAGAAACTTCTCTTTTTCCCACCATGTCCTCGTTGTCAAACACTCTGACCAAAAGCAACTCAGAGGAGGAAGGGATTTATTTGGCTCACACTTCCTGGTCATGGCTCATTACTGAGCTAAGTCAGAGGCCTGCTTGCTATTCCTTATTCCACACAGTGTTCCCTCCAACCTGCAAGCTCACTCACAGCCAGGAAAGTATCGCAAGAACTGTGGAGGAACACTGCTTGTTGGCTTGTTGGCTCAGGTAGCTTTCTATGCAACCCGGGACCATTTACCTGGGGAACGGTGCTGCCTGCTGTGCGCTGGGTCCCTTCATGTCAATTATAATCAAGAGAATCTCGAAGACAGGCTAGTCGGGCACGGTCACTCCCTCAGTTGACACTGCCTTCTCAGATGACTCTAGGCTGTGTCAAGTTGACAAAAACCACTAGGACACACCTCATTCTGGAGTGGTAGCTATCAGTAATGACTTTTAAAACCTTCAGGCTTCCCTGCATTGTCTAGAGTATGCTTGTAGCAGCATGACTGTAGAAACTAGAGAGGTTACATTAAAGTGCAAAACGTAATCTCTTGGAAATGGGGGGGGTGGAGATGTGTCCGCCCCCCCCCCCCCCCCCCCCGCCACCCTAACATCTCTCACTGTTGCATTTTCTTCCCTGGGATTTCTTGCCACCCTGGAACAGGTGTCGTCACCACCAATGGAAAACAATGGCCAAGAAGTTGATGAGGGTGGAGATGCCACCAAGGGTCCTGAAGAGGACATTAGAGCAGAAAGTGAAGGCAGACTTGAAGGAGACATGGTGGACGACGAGAAAGTCAGGACGGAAGGAATAGCCATCCCTGAAGGGGAAGTGGAATCCAGTGGAGACACTACCCAAGAAACAGAATTGGAATCCATCAGAGAGACTCCCCAAGAAACAGAATTGGAATCCATCAGAGAGTTTCTCCAAGAAACAGAAGTGGAATCCATCGGAAAGTTTGCTCCAAAAATGAGAGAGAGATCCTCTGGAGAGGACACATCAGAACTAGACATGGAACACATGGACTTGGATGCCATTGGGGAGGACATCCTAGATATGCGTTTGGAGTCCATCACTGGAGAGGCCAGCCCTCAAGGGGAAGGGGAGCCCGCTGGGGAAAATGTCCCAGGTGGGAAACTTGACCTTCCTGGGAGAGAAGAGAGGTACACCTTCTCTGAGAGGGATGACTTGTCGGAGAGGATCAGCTCCCCAGAATTAGCCTCCTCAGACGTCAGCTCCTGGGAAATGACTTCAGAGGATATCAATGCTTTTGTATCTGAAGGAACCGGGCTCGACTTTCCTGACACATCCTTGGGCATATATGAGGCCTTACGACGCAGACAGGTCAGCCAGGTGCGTGTCCCTTGGTGTTTGTGCAAGCGCCTTACTGCTCACGAGGTCCTCACCCACCCGATGAGAGGAGCTTAAAGGCACACTACCTCTACCTCAGTCAGGGTTTTCTACCAGAAGCCACTTGGGGAGGAAAGGGTTTATTTGGCTTACACGTCTTGATCATAGTCCACCCTGAAGGGGAGTCAGGGCAGGAGCTCATGACTGGAACAGGCCAAGGAGGAGCCCTGCTTCTAGCTCACTCCTCTTGGCTTGCTCAAGTTGCTTTCTTATAAAATCTAGTGTTGTAGTGCAGTCCACTGTTCTCTGAGAGCTCCCACATCAATCGCTAATTAAGAAAATGTCCCACAAACTTGGCTATAGGCCAACCTGAGAGAAGCATTTTCTCAAGTGGACCCAAACCTTCGAGCACACCCTATTAGGAATTTCTTAGCAAATGTAGGCCAATGCTGAGAGGACCTGAACCTCACATCCAAGCTGCCAAACGCCAGGCTGGGGACATTCTGTAGCCACTATCCATACACGTGCATGCATCCAGGGCTCTGTAGTCTTCCAGAGCAGTGTGGCTCAAAAGAGAAATTAAATTTCTCATTTATCAAAATTCAAATGAATTGGGCATGATGGCACTCACTCATCACCCCAGCCCAGCACCCAGAGAGAATGCTGAGGCAGAGGATCTTGAGCTCCCAGCCAGCCTGGCTCTTAAAAAGACCTCACCTCAAACAAAGAAACAAACAAATCAGATCCATTTACATTTAAATTGTCATCTATTGCTAGTGGCTTATGTGTTGAGATGTTTGTTTGGGGGTTAAATGTAGGGTCTTGAACCTGCTAGGCCAGCACCAAAATTTAAAGCAATTACCAATTTACAGAGGAAGTACAATTTAAAAAAAAAAAAAAAACGTATTTGAGTTTCTTAGGTGCCACAGGTAAGTTTCAAATCTGATATGTCACCTCCAAAAGCTTTCACGTGTGCTTCTCACATGGCATCCTGTGCCTTTTCCTGGGGAGACTCTGACAAATGTCTCCTGGCCCCAGACAGTGAACTAGCAACAGGCCAATGTAATGATTCTGCCAAAGTCCAGTTTGGAGAACCAGTGAGTTTACTGGGGTCACTTAAAGGAGCATGGATGACTCAAAGGCAGCTACATCCCCAGAAGCCCAGTTCAGCATCCCTGGGGCTCGCTGCAGGACTTGTAGGTAGAGCACCCCTCCCAGAGTCTCCTCCCCAAAGCCATGGCTAGTAGTATTACCACCATCACCACCACCATCATTATTATTTTACTGCTCGCACAACCTTTGCAGCAGGGCCTTGTGCGCACTTTCCTAAACTGCTCCTTTTTTTTTTTTTTTTTTTTTTTTTTAAATTTGTGAGTCTCAGAGAGCCTGACTACAGGAGGGGTTTTTTTCAGTTCTGTGGAAACCAGTCCACAGCTGAGAGTTACAGGATAGCTGAGCCCTTAAAGCCTAAACTGGGGCTCCCCTAGCAGGGTGGGAGATTTGGGTTGGGTCCCCAACACCACAGGGGGAAAATCCGGCAATTCTCTCTCCATCATTTCCTGGAAGTTCTCAGGTCTCATTTTGCAGCTTATCAAATGTCTAAGGATGACTCGCAGTGCTGTGTAGCTTCTCTTTAGCTCTCTCCCTGGCCACTCACAGAGTAGGTTTTCCAGCACTACCTCCAAGGAGGCTTGGGTTTGAGTCCCTGGGCAGAGCCACCCAGGTGGTGTGTCCTCGATGCCCCTGAGAGTGGCTTGATTGGCACTAGTGAGAGAAGAAGAAGGGCCGGCCTCCCTCACTGCAAAGCCACTCCTAACCCATCTGCACTTAAAACATTTTATGGGAAGATGTTCTCATTGTTCAGAATATAAAAGTGGAATATTTGGAACTCAGGGGAAAATCACAGCACGATTATTATTATTTATATAGAGTGTCTCATTTTCTGCCCAGCAGTTTGCACCACCGACACGACTTGTCTGTGAGTAACTTCTCAGTTTTGTTTTTCTGGAGACAGGGTCTCTCTGTGTCACCCTGGCTGTCCTGGAACTCAGCAAGCTGATGGTTTTTTAAAAGTTTCTATTTCACTTTGTGTGTGTGTGTGTGTGTGTGTGTGTGTGTGTGTTGATTTTTAAACACCTCACCCTATATACTAATTGTTGTTAAGCCCCCTTGTTCTTTAGAATGGCTTGTTAGAATCCAGTCTTTTTCACGAAGATGATCTGTCCTATGAGAACAAGAGTGTGTGACTCTGTCCCTTACCTGTTCCTTCTCTTTCCTTCCTGATCACGTTGGCCAGCCCTCCAGCGTGAGGCTGCAGGAGCCTGAGATCTATGTCCACCGCTCTCCCTGCCACTCTGGAGGCCCCCGGGGTGGGGGGCAGGGGAGGTTGGCAGATTCTTTTTATTAACATGGGGAGGCTCCTTCTTTCCTACCTTGTTAGGTGCTATGGACTTTGGTTTTATTTACCATGAAATGATCAATTTGAATTTTATCACTTTTTTTGTGTGTGTCTACTGAGATAACTGTATGAGGTTTGTTTGTTTGTTTGTTTGTTTTTCTAGTTTGCTGATTTGGTAGGTTTCTTTTCTGTTTATTTGTGTGTGTGGCATGTGTGCACAGGCACGGGGCAGCCAACGGTTGATGTCAATCAAGTGTGTTCCATTATAATTCTCCATCTATGTTGTTATGTATTTAGTGAGACTGGGTCTCACTATGTAGTCCTGGCTGGCCTCAAACTCATCCACCTTATTACTTATTTTTAATTTCTATTTAAAATTTTATTTTACAGTTTTAAATATTTTAGATCTATAAAATTTTTATTTTAAAATTCTATTTATTCACTTTTATGTGTATGGGTGTTGTATGTCTGTGCGCCACACGCTTGCCTGCTTCCTGTGGAGGCCAGCATCAGACACTTCTGCCAAAGCACCATGTCTATTAACAGAAAACCAGTTCAGAGAGCAAGATCTGTGCACAGCAGTGATCGCTGGCCTGGGGTGTCACTTTCCCTAGGTCCCTCCACACTCTGGGCACAGACATGTGGAGATGTACCGTTTTTGGCTGTGTTTACAGGCACACACACATCTATACAAGTGTACATCAGTGTCATCACTTACGGGAGCCTCCCCTGACCTCAGTGCTGAGAGGCCTGGCCCTGTCCGATGACTGCAGTCAGTGTGTGACCAACCTCCCGCAAACCGTCTCCACCCCTTCAGCCTCTCTCCTTGGCCCAGTCCCACCTGGTGTGAATTGCTCAGGACGCAGAGAGCCAGGGGAGAAGGATGGAACACTTTTTGCTGCATCCACCCAGGCTGTGTACAGCGCTATCCCCTGATGCAGTGTCTGTGCCACCTTGTGGAGGTGGGAGCCCTTGTTGACTCCACTGTGCAGACGAAGCAACTGAAAGATGGGCTAGAGAGATATCTCAGTGGTTAGAACACTGGCCGCTCTCACAGCAAGGACCCTGGTTCAATTCCCAGCATGCACACAGTGGCTCACAGCCACCTTTAATTCCAGTTCCGGGAGGATCTGATGGCCTCTTCTGGCCACCATGGGCACTGCACACGTGTATGTATGAACACCCAAACACATTTTTTTAAATTTATTTATTTATTATGTATGGAGTATTCTGTCTGCATGTCTGCCTGCAGGCCAGAAGAGGGCACCAGATCTCATAACGGATGGTTGTGAACCACCATGTGGTTACTGGGAATTGAACTCAGGACCTCTGGAAGAACGGGCAGTGCTCTTAACCCCCAAGCCATCTCTCCAGCCCCCCCCAAACACATTTTTTAATCCTTATTAAAAAAGAAACTGAGAGGTAAAAGTGGCTTCCTTGTCCAGGGCCTCACCACTGCCGTGGCATATGGTTGCTTTTGCTCTGAAGCCACTGTCCTGAATCGTGAAGCTGTGGGCCTGCCTCCTCCCCCAACCCCATGAAAGCTAAGAGTTCCTAAGTTTGGAGGAAGGGGGTGGGGGTTCCATGTTTGATTAGCCCTTGTCATGCTTTCTGATCAAACCCACTCTTGCAGGCTGCATTGTGGTTCCTTGGTAGAGTGCCTGCCGGGCTACCTGGGTCCAAACACCATCATGGCAAATCAACAAAAGAAAACAAAACCCCCCCAAATTTGTGAATTTGGTGAGGAGGGCAACAGCCGAGCAATGTCCTCACCTTGGTGTGTGTGACAGATGAGCCACTTGCTCTTATCCAATTTCCACCCTTGGGTCTAGTTTCTAGAAAACGGCCGAAATGAAGGTTTCAAAGACAAGAAGACAGATACACCTCCTAGGAGGATCCTACTTCCCTCTGCCTTCTGGCTCTCAGCCTATAGGAATACAGGTAGTGGGAGGAATTGTTGGGGGTCAGTGTATGCAGAGACCCACTGTTAGATTTTCATTAGAAGTCCTTCCTGGAGGCTTTGGCCTCTGTGCCCCCCCATAATGTCCCTTGGGATCCGGGTACCTCAGAACCAACTCACAGAGTCCACTTCAGAGTCTGAAGAGGTAGAGTGGGAACAGGCGTGGGCTGGGACTGAGGCCAAGGGCCTTGAGCCTGCCTCTAGGCGATGCTCACGCTTAGGAGAACCTTTAGCTTCTGTGTGTCTGTTTGGCCACCCCTACTTCATGGGATCCTGGGGCTTTGTTCTTTGTAAACAGAATAGTGAAGCCCTGTCTCACTAGTTTCTGGGCCAGCATTTACTTCAGCAGCCCCAGTAAGGACGACCCATCACAGTAATTGCGGCAGTCCCTTCAAAAGCTAAAAAATAGAACCGAGTCGGGGTGAAAGTGCAGGCCTGTGATTTCAGCACTCAGGAGGTTGAGGCATGAGGCTACATAAGAGACTTTGTCTCAAGGGGCGGGGTGGGGGAGCCAAATGTCTGTATCAAGGGGAGGTGTTCAGATGGAGGAAGAGATGTGATCCCCTGTGAGGCCCCTGCGGGAGCACGGACAGCAGAGGTGTGCTCCTACGAGAAGTGTGCTCAGGACATGCTTTCCTGTCTCTGGCATTTGGGCAGCAGAGCAGAACGTCTGTCCAGGTCCACGAAGAGCCCCACTCAGGAGGAGACACAATTAAACCGACTCCTCCGTAACACAGCGACCCTCACTGATTTGTTTCTCTCCTTCTGTCTGTAGCTGAGACCCCTTGAGGGCCTTACTCAGAGAATCCTTCCTGTGGGGGCACCACATCGCTTCAGGCTGAGCGCCATGGGAAGTCTGGCTTCCTCAGAGATGGATGACTTACTCTCGGACACACAGGAAATTTCTGCACAAGAACCAGGTATGCTGCATCTGCCAGGGTTGTCCTGGCAACGGCTCAGCCAGTCCACCTTCCCTTCTGTGTAGGTGAGGCCACTGGGGCCACACCTGTCACCTCATTTCCCTGAAGCCAAGAAGCCAGTGTCAGGTGTGTGTTCAGCAGATGTGGATGGCTCTATGGGGCCCTTACTGTGACAACCCAGCCAGTCCTCATATCAACCCAGGGAAGTAGCAGCCATTCCCCATTGTGCAGATAAGGACGCTAATGAGGCCCCAGCACCCAGAGCCCTGACCGCCGCCCCCCACTGCCCACTTCCAGCTGCCTCCTGGTCTCTGGAAGTGGAATCCTGGGACAACTCCCATCACATGTCCCTCTGCTGAGTGTGAAGGGCACACCTGTGTCCTCCTCTGACTCTAATATCCTGGCACGGTGTGTGGTGGGGGAGCAGCTGGGGAGACTGCTTAGTCCCTAGAATGCAAACGCGCACGCTTGGTTCAGCTCACAAGGCCGCACATTATCTACGAGTGACGTGAAAACAAGGCAGGTCTAGCTTAGTTTTAAAAAAAAAATGCAGGGCCAAGAGCCAGGGATGCAGCCCAGTGGTGGGACTCACTTGTCACACACACACAAGGAAGGCCCTGGTCCACAAAAATGGACATGGTGCTTCACCCTGTAGTCCCACTATGTGCAAGCTGAAGCAGGGGGATCCATGAACCACTGAGCCCCGGGTAAGCCTCTGCAACAGAGCCAGGAGAGTCTCAGGTACATGGCTGCAGAGGAGGCAAGATGGTGTGGATACTATCAGTCCACACTGCTGCCGTCACTGTCACTGTGGGATGGCTGCATGAAGGGCAGCCCCGGGAGGACTGTCACACACACACCAGGGTTGCAGTTCCTAATGGTACAGAATGACCGTTTCTACCAGGCATGTGGCTAGTTTTCCTAAGTGATGCAGTTGTCTGCCAACCGGCCCTGGAGGAGCCCCTTTGCCTCCCAGAGGCACCCAGAAGATTCAGTTTGTTGGGCCAACCCTTGCTCTGAAGCTCACACAACCTCATAGTTTTACCTGAACATCTTTTTTTTTTTTTCAGGGGTGGGGTGGGGTTACTAGATAGGGTTTCTCTGTGGCTTTGGAGACTGTCCTGGAACTCACTCTGTAGACCATGCTGGGCTTGAACTCACAGAGATCCACCTGCCTCTGCCTCCCGAGTGCTGGGATTAAAGGTGTGCGCCACCAACGCCTGGCTCTACCTGAATATTTTGCTGTTGTTGTTTGCTTGTATGGATTGTTTTGTTTGAAACAGGGTGTTGGGGCTGGAGAGATGATGCAGCATTTAAGGGCACACATGGCCCTTCCAGAGGGCCCGAGTTCAATTGCCAGCACCTTCATCAGTCAGCTCACAACCACCTGTAATTCAAGTTCCAGGAGGATCTGACTCCTCTGGTCTCTGTGGGCACCTACACTAATGTACATAAACCCATACACATAATAAAAGGCAATAAATAAAAATCAAAACAGGCTGTCACAGAGCCCGGTATGGCCTCAGACTCCTTATGTGTCTAAGACTGGCCTTGAATTTCTGATCCCCCTGCCTCCAGGCCCCACGTGTTAGGATTACAGGTGTGCACCACCATGCAGGCCTTGACTGTGTATTTTATGTGCTCTATTCAATGGTGATCTGTTGAGTGCCTACTGTGTTCCAGTTACTGCCTTATGCTGGTGATCTGTTGGGTACCTACTGTGTTCTAGCAGGGCACATTAGATAAAAAATCACTCTGCTCAACAGCTGGTATGACAGCCTACGCCTTTAATCTCCATAGTGCTTGAGAGGCAAAAGCAGGCTGATCTCTGTGAGTTCAAGGCTAGCCTGGTCTACAGAATGAGTTCTAGGCCAGCCAGGGCTACATAGGGAGACCCTGTGTCTAAATAAATGATCATACGCAACAGAAGTCAGAACATGGGTCTCTGTGACCTAGCTTATAATTTCATTTCTTTTTCAGTCTTTTTTAATGTTTTGATTTTTTTTAACTTAGGAGTATAAATGTGTCTGTGGGTTAGGGTCTCGTGAGTGTAGACTCATGAAGGCCAGAAGGCATTGGATCCCTTGGAGCTGGAGTTGGAGACAGGTGTCAACTGCCTGACATGGGTGCTGGGAACCAAACCTGTAGCCTCTGGCAGAGCAGCAAGTATTTTTAACCTCAGAGCCATCTCCCCGTGTTCTTTTTTTTTTTTTAACTTGAAAGCCCCGCAGTAGGCTTCCTCCTTCCTCTCCATTCCTCACATGTGAGTTGCTGTCTCTTCCACTGCTAGAATGTGGCCCATGCTGTGGAACATGTTGAGTCATTGATGGTTGGTACCATGGTTAAGCCTGAGAACTTGCCACTGGACGGCTCTCCCCTCTAATTTCCAATACATCCTTCGAGGGTGGGACCCAGATGCTTACTTCCCCAGAATACAACGATCAAGCCTCGGTGACATTTGCTGTCTCTCCCGGATTGTTTTTACAGCGCGTCGCCCGCCTGGCCCCCGGGAAGAAACCCACATACAGTTTCGAGAAGATGTCCAGTCCCTCAGCCCTGAGGAACAGATCCTGATCGAAAGAGAAGCCTCTGAAGGAAGTGACGAAGCAGATGACGACAGTGCCCAACTGGTGGTGCTGGACCCAGACCACGTAAGAAAAAGTCCTCAGGTTTTGCTTTTGGCCGGCGCAGGGGGAAGTCCCCGGGGCCCTTCTCTGCATCCAGCCAACTGCCCAGTGCTGTTTGCCCTCAGGGGCTGGTTGCACATTAGTTAGGCTTTCTGCTTTGTTTCCTGGCTGATTTAGCTCATTTTATGTTCCCTGGCAAACACCATGACCAAAAGCTACCTGAGGAGGAACAGGTTTATTTCTGTCGACAATTATAGTCCAGCATGAAGGGAGGTCAGGGCAGGAACTCAAGGCAGGAACCAGGAGGCAGGGCCTGAGCAGAGGCCATGGAGTGGTGCTCCTTACCGATGCCCCATGTGGCTTGCTCAGTTTTCTTTCTTAAACAGCCCAGAGCCACCTGCCCAGGGGAGGTGCCATCCACTGTGGGCTGGGCCCTCCTGAATCAATCGCTGATCTAGAAAAAGCCCCGCAGACTTCCCTATAGGCCAGCCTAATGGGGATACTTTCCCAATTAAGGTTCCCCCTTCTCAGATGGCTCTCCTTTGTCAAATTGACAAAATAAAAAAATAAAAAAAAAAACCTAACCAGGACACTGCCCCCCCCCCCTTTTTTTCCTTTGTTTTGTTTTTTTGAGGACTGACTGTCCTCTGTGAGGGGTCTGGATACTGTAGGACATGGAGCCAAATCTCTGGCGTCCACCCATTTCTTTGTCCTGACAACCAAAAAAACGCATCCAGACGATGCTGGTTGCTGGAAGAAGGCAAGGGGTCGCGTCACTTAACTGTAACCTGGCAGTCACACCAAGGCACTTGGTCCCAGACTTGCAACAAAGGAGAGAGGCAGATTTGATTTGAGTGACATGTTTGGAGAGCTGCAGTGCTCCAGGAAGCTCAGAGGAAGCACAGGGAAAAATCCTCTGAGCCCCCAATTGACACTGGGGTGACGGCTGCTGCTGGTCAATCTGGACAAACACCCCTCAGCACTTCAGCAGCCCCTCAGCCAAACCTCTGCAGTGTCTGGCATCAGCCATGAGGTGCCCGGAACTGTGGCTTCCACAGGAAGAGCCTGGGCCGGGAAATTATGTGTGTCTGCCCATACCACCCCCACCCACCCACGCTCACCTCCAGAGAGGGGAGGGAGGGACAATGCCAGGCAGCCGCCGGACCTAGGCTGAGCCCCGCTTGAGACGGTGAGCGTAACTGACTGCTTGTGGCTTTCTGTTGCTTAGCCCCTGATGGTCAGATTCCAGGAGGCCCTGAAGAGCTACCTCAACCGGCAGATAGACAAAATGAAGCTAGACATCCAAGAGCTGGTGCGTACGGGTTCTTGTCGTCCTCCCAGCCCGGTGGGCACCCCTGGGTCTGCCTCAACTCTGTCTCTTCCTCTGGTAACAGGATGTGGCCACCAAGCAAAGCCGAGTCCAGAGGCAGGAGCTGGGTGTGAACCTCTACGGGGTCCAGCAGCACCTGGCCCGCCTGCAGATGCTGCTGGAGAAGAGTCATGACCGTCACTCTCTGGCAGCGTGCGAGAGGAGGCAGAGGGAGGAGGAGCTGCAGAACACCCGGGCCCTCTACAACAAGACCTGTGCAACTGCCAACGAGGAGCGAAAGATGTGTAAGGCGTCTGTGTGTCCCACGGACCCCGAGAACCTAGGGCCATGCCGCCCACGGCTATCTCCCTAAGTGTGTGTCCACATGTTGCTGAAGATACCAACAAAGCAATTGCATGTCTAGGAGGGGCTCCCATCTTTTTTTTTTTTTTTTTTTTAGGAAAGGAGGGCCCAGCAGTGCCAGAAAAGCCTCCTCACTAGGTAGAGCAGCAAAGGCTGAGACTGGCAGGGGTCAGGTGTAGAGACTCCGAACCAGAAGTGTGCAGGGGCTGTGGCGGTCCCAGGGTTGAATCCAGGGGATGCATAGCAGGCTCGTGGAGCTCAGAACTGGGAGAGGCTGTGCCCCTGCACGACAGGGCAGCCATAGGGTCTGAGGGGCAGCTGAGTGGAAAACCAGGTAGCTTAGGAACCATGTGTGGTTGGCAGGGCAGCTGTACATATCATAACAGGGTCCCTACTGAAGGCACACACCACCCTCACCAAGTAGATGACAGAGGGCAGAGTGGACAGTGAGCAGTGGCTCCCTCGCCGGGCACCAGTAGCTTCCCGTCCTTTGTGTATCCTGATGTTTCCAGCTGGTCTTTCTCCACTCTGTTCCTAAAATAAGAGCAAAATGTTTTGAAAGTAAAGGAGAGGAAGCAGGTGCTGGGCCTGGTGTCTCTTCTGGCAAGAAGTATTTTGAGCTCTGAGGAATGTGGGTGGGACTTCTGGGGCTTCCATTTGGATGCTTCTATAACAGAATCCCACGGGGACACTGGCAGTGAACAGCATTTTGTTTGTTTGTTTGTTTGCTTGCTTGCTTGATTTTAGGAGGCAGTGTGTGCCGTGTAGCCCAGGCTGGCCTTAGATTTCTGAAGTAGGGTGACCTTGAACTTCTGAGCGTCCTGCTTCCACCTCCTCGGGGCTGGTTTCATGTGTGCCACTGCACTTGGTGTGTGAGGCACTGGGGAATCAAACCCAGGGCCTCATGCATGCCAGGAACACACTCCACCAACCTTCAGTCACACGATTCTGGAGAACAAGATGTCCAATATGGAGGGACCAGCATATGTCTTGTGATATAGCATCTAATAAGGCTGAAGGGCAGAGACGAGAGAGGACAAGTGGTGGGGGTGGGGGGGGGGTCATGCAGGCTCAAGTCCTTTGGCTCGATACAATAATCCACCATAGCCCAGGTGGAGGTGTGCAACCTGGGCACGTCCCATCTGTCCCCAGCTTCCTGCACTGCTGCACTTGGGATCAGGTTTCCAGCAACTGTATTTCAGGAGGACACCTTCAACCTATAGTGTTTATCAAGAACCTCTCCCTGCTTTCCCCGCTTACCTCCAAATCAAGAGAAAACAACAAAGGCAGAACATGGCATTAAAACTCAAGGCCCCTCTTGCCAATACTGCAGACCCTGGCACATGCTGAAAGCTGGCCTAGCCCTGCTGCAAACCTGCTGTGAGGCCCCATAGCCACGGAGCCAGAAGGAGCATCATGTTGCCAGGCTCCCATCTACCACAGCTCACAGTGTAGACAGGCTTCTCTCCCTCGAAAACCTCCCTGAAGGACTGGACCATTGCTTAATCTTCCCATTGATACAATAGAGGACCAAGTAACACTGACGGGCAGAGCCAGGGAAGCTCTGCGAGAATTCTGCCCACTGTGTTTTTATGACGAGGGACTCTCATCATTCCTATGAGCCAGCCAACAAAAGACAAACACCCCAGGAGATAAGCAGGCTCTCTGGAGAAGGAAAATGGGTCCCTGGAAATTAAACTATGAAACCAACTCATGTTCACTAATACCCGAAGGAATGAAAATTTAGAAGAATAATTGAAACACTGACTCGGTCACTCACCTGGCAAAGACAAGTTGACCTTGGTGTGCTTGGGGAAGAGTGTGAGGGGGAGGAAGGCTGCTTCAGTTGCCACACTGAGGCTGCTGCGTCACCAACAGGCACTTATCTCCCTACAGGACGGTCAGGACTGGGTCCTCCCAGGCCCCTCTCTCCAGTGGGGGATGGAGCATTCTGTCCGTACTCCTGTATGATCATTCCTGTGTCCTGGCCTCCTCTTCAGACAAGCCTAGACCATCATAGTGACCACACTTAATCTTGATAGCCTCTCTAAAGACCTTGTGCTCAAATGAAGCCATGTTTCATGGTGCTGTCAGGTGGCACCTGTCCCCAGGTCAAGTATGTCCTGCCTCCACCCACTGTTTTCACTTCAAGGAAATGAACTCATAAGTGAGGGCTGAAACAGCCAAGCTCACTGAACAGAAACTGCCCCCAAATAAATCACAGGAGAAAAGACAGGAGGGAGGGAGTGGGAACTTGGTGAACCCTGAGCTCCTTCGAGTGGACAGAAGACAGGACAGGGAGGACAGAAGACAAAGACATCACAGGTGGAAAGCTCCCACACTGTTTGGACAGCAGTGACCCCATGGTCCAGTCTGGTCCGAGAAGATCAACACAGGAGGAAAACCGCACCAGGCTCTCTGCAGGCAAATGACTAAAACCCGAAACAAAGAAAAGCACCAGCAGCTAGTGTTGAAAGAGGCCAGAATGTACCGAGGGTACCTCAAGCCAGCTCCAGCCTGCCTCCCTCCTTCCTGGGAAGCCCTACCAGGAGCCAGGGTGTGCTGCAGTGCTATGGGGTTATCCGTGGTTTTTTTTTTTTTAACTCAGTTTTGTTTTTTTATTTTTTTAAGATTTTATTTATTTATTATGTATACAACATTATGCTTCCATGTATATCTGCCCACCAGATTTTTTAATGGATGTTTGTGAGCCACCATGCGGTTGCTGGGAATTGAACTCAGGACCTCTGGAAGAGCAGTCGGTGCTCTTAACCTCTGAGCCATCTCTCCAGCCCCCCTCTCCCCGTGTTATGTTCTAAGACTTTCTTTTCTCATGCAGCTTTCTGTGTAGACCCTTCAACATTCAAACAGGCATGTCCCGGCTGCTACACTCATCTGTGTGTTTGCCTGTCCATCTCCTATCTGTCCATTTCTTAAATTTTCTTGTTTTTAAAAGATTTATTTCTATTTTACCAGTATGGGTGGTTTGGTTTGGTTTTGAGACAGGGTCTTACTGTGTAGCCCAGGCTGTCCTGGAACTCACTATGTAGACCTGGATGGCCTCAAGCTAGCGGAAACCTTCCTGCCTCTGCCTCCTACGTGCACTGCGCCTGCCCTGGGTGTCACCTGCATGTGTCACCTGCATGTGTGTGTGCTCCAAGTGTGCACACCTGCTACCCATGGACGTCAGAAAGGGCCTTGGGTCCCCTGGAACTGTAGTCACAGAGAGTTGTGAGCTGCCGTGGTGGTGCTGGGAACTGAACCCAAGTCCTCTGCAAGAGCAGTCAGTGCTCTTAACCACAGATAAATTTTATGTATTTATCAGTGGTTATTTATTGATATATTTTTATAGCCACTGGTATTTACTTATTTGTTTTGCAATATGGGGGTGGGGTGGAGGTGAAAACCAGAGCCATCAACATGCTAAGGAAGTGCTTACCGTTAATCTAGACCCCAGCCAGAGCAAACATCCGTTGACTGAAGTGTAGCTTCCCAAACACATCAGCTTCACCAGTCATCCCAGCCTCACACAGTCCCCAGTGAGTTTTGTTAAGGGAATCCATTGGAACTGTGATTTTGTGCTGCCTCCTGGAGGCCCTGCCCGAGAGGCAGCCCTCCCTCCCCTTGCAGCTGCACTGCCTTGGGTCTTTGTGGGAGGGGCTTCAGCGGAGCTCAGACTGCTGTGCTTGGGGGCCTCGCTGTTAACCAGTAAGAAACCTGTGAGGTGGCCTCGCCCAGCACCAGTCTCTAAACGCACTAGGCGGTGGGCGTGTGATTTGTGGGTGTGGAATGTGTGTATGTAAACATATATACTTTTCTGAGACATGGTCTGACTGTGCTATTCTGGCTGGCCTAGAACTCGTGACCAGCCTCTGCTCAGACTGTAGACCTGCACCACCACGCCTGACTGCTTCTTGTATTCTTGCTCCTTTTCGCCCTCTGATTATATGAGAAATCCTTGTGCAGCAGAGTGGAGGTCTTTGTAGTTTATAGATTGGGGGGTGGGGGGCTGGGAACACAGCTCAGTGAGTGAGGTGCTGTGTGTTAGAGCCCGAGGATCTGAGTCTGGATGCCAGGAGCCCACCTTCGAGGCTGGGCACAGTGCCGTCCACTTGTAATTGTAGTTCTGGGAGGGAGAGACAGGAAGATCCCGAGGGCTGGCTCACCGTCCTGCCCAATCAGGTGGCTCCAGATGCTGTGAGAGACCTTGTTCAACAGTAAGGTAGGGAACTGAAGAGAGGGCTCAGCAGTTAAGAGCACTGGGGGCTCTTGCAGAGAACCCAGATCCAATTCCCAGCACCCATGTGGCGGCTCATAGCCATCTATGAATCCATTTCTAGGAAATCTCGTGTCCTCTTCTGGCCTAGGAGGGCACCAAACATGTAGGTGGTACACACACACACACACACAGAGAGAGAGAGAGAGAGAGAGAGAGATGCAGGCATAGCACCCATACACTTAAAATAAAAAGGAAAAATTAAAAACCAATAAGGTAGAAAGTGATAGGGGAAGACAGCTGGCCTCCATCTCTAGCTTCTACACAAGTGAACATATGGATACACACACACACACACACACACAGACACACACACACACACACACACAGACACACCCACACACACACACACACACACACACACACACACACACAGAGTCCTCAGTGTAGGGGTGGAGGCATATGCCTCTAATCCTAGCACTAGGAAGGAGGTGGAGGCAGGAGAACCAGTAGTTTGAGGCTACCCTCGGATATAGAAGAGACTCTCGAAAATCAAAAAGGAAAATCTGTCTCCATCCAGGTGACTTGGTCCCTATGGCCAGGTCCAGGCAGCCAGGGTTACAAGTGTCTCCAGTCCCTCCACAAAGGAAGGTGCAGGGTAGAGTGCTGTCCCAAGGATCCCAAACCCTGGGATAGCACATGGGCAGAGCGTGACAGCCTCCCCCTCCACAGTGGCAGCCCTGCAGGCCGACATGGAGAGCCTGGCCCTGCACCTGTTCTACATGCAAAACATAGACCAGGACGTGCGGGACGACATCCTGGTGATGAAACAGGTGGTGAGGAAGACGGAGATGGAGAAGACGCGAGCTGAGTTAGAGAAGAAAAAGCAGGTAACCCTGTCAGCGGTGCACCGCTCACCACCACAGAAAGCTCTCAGGCTGGCCACCCTGGGGAGGGCTGTCCTCAGCTGCCAACAGCTCCTGACGGCCCCTTTTGTTTTTGTCAGGATCTGTTCGTGGACCAGCTCACTGAAAGGGCCCACCAGCTGGAAGAAAACATCTCCCTGTTTGAGGCTCAGTACTTGTCCCAGAATGAGGACACTCGAGTTCTAAGGAAAGCAGTGAGCGAGGTAAGAACACCCCCGAAGCCAGTGTGGGAGCAGAAGCCCCCTTGTCGCCTATACCTGGCCTGGCAGTCAGCCCAATCAATGCAGAAATTTAGCAGATTATTAAGTAGCTAAGGACTGGATTGTGTGCTCAGTGGTGTCGGAACCCTCGGTGAATCACTTGGAGAAACCCATACCAAGTACTAAAATCAATTCCAGCTGGAATCAGATATTTAAAGAGGGGACACACTGGAGAGGTGGCTCAATGGTTCGGAATGCTGACTGATCTTCCAGAAGAACCTGGGTCCAATTCCCAGCACCCATATGGTGGTCCACAACCATCTATTAACTCTAGTCTCAGGGAATCTAGTGCCCTCCTCTGCACCAGGTGCCTCTTTCGGCACCAGGCATACAGGTCATGCCTAGACATACATGTAAGCAAAACACTCATACACATAAAATTAATAGTAAGAATAAAGCTTTAATCCCAGCAGTTGGGAAGTAGAGGCAGAGGAATCTCTGCAAGTTCAAGGCCAGCCTGGTCTCCAGAGAGAGTTCTGGGACAGCCAGGGCTACGGAGAAACCTTGTCTTGAAAAACCAAAAACCAAACAAATGAACAAAAATTCTGAATAGTGGTAGGTGGGCGCTGCAGACCAGTCACTAGAAGAAACGAGGGGGAAACATGTGCCTAGCCCTGGGCCGAAGAGGCCTTTTTTTCTCTTTACACCAAGCAGAGTCTGCAGGCTGGGTGTGTGGAGCTCAGTTGGCAGAGGGTTTGTTTGCCTAGCATGTACAGGCATGAATTTGGTCCTCATTCGTAAACCCAGCATGGTGATGATGCCTGTGACTCCAACACTTGGAAGACAGGGGTAGGACTATCAGAGGTTGAAGATCACCCTCAGCCACATAGAAACCCCATCTCAAAATTAAAATGCAAAGGCAAGGCCACACCAAACACAGCCACCAACAGAAGGAAGAAAGGGCGAGGCCCACTTACAGCCCCTGATAAATGGGGTAGGCACAGTGGTACAGCCGTGCAAGCTCCAGAGAAAAGAGGTCCTTAGCTCGTGGTACAAGGACAAGGGACACATCTGAAGCTGGCCTGCTTGCTTGCTGGCAGAGTCCAAGATGAGAATGGGGATTGAGAGTGGCCTAGACACTCGGGCTTCCATAGAGAAAAGCCCTCAATTGGCTCACAGTGCACCACAGAGAGTAGAGAGCTACTCACCTCTTAGAGGTCCTTCCTCCTTCTGTCCAGTGGGGCGTATTCAAAGCAGAGTTTGAGAGGACAAACTTGCCCAGAGTGCAGCAGGTTTGGGGCAAAGTTCATAGGCCAGGGAGTTCCTGTGGCTTTGTTCCTAGTGGCAGGGGTCTCTTCTACTGTCTCTCCTTCCATTGGTGGCCATGCTTAATCCATGCCTGGTGTGGCCCCTCCTCTAGACCCTTCCCTCTGCGGGTTTAGCTCTTTTTCTTTGAGACAGGGTTTCATGTGCCGTGGTCAGCCTCAAACTGGCTCTGTAGCTGAGGGTGACCATGGACTCCTGATAAATGCCCATCAGGGTTCCTTCCTGCCTTTGGCGCATTGGCTGGCACCCTTGCCTCTGCCCTCAGTGGAGTCTCCGAGGTCTGTTCATTTCTCCTTCCCAGCATTCAGACATTGACAGGCACACCGCCACACACATAATCATTGCTTAGGCGAACCAGTGAGATACTCGGAGGTTTCTATAGGCAGGTTACTGTCAAGGACGACACCTGGTCCACCTTGTGACTGTCAGCATCTCAATCCAGACCACTCACAGTCCACTATTTGACCTTCATTCTAAGGTAGTGAATACAGAGGTGTGGACAGTGTGTGTGTGTGTGTGTGTGTGTGTGTGTGTGTGTGTGTTAAAAAGTGCCAGACTGCCCATTGGTGGTGGCACCCGCCTTTAATCCCAGCAATCGGGAGGCAGAGGCAGAAGGATCTCTGTGAGTTTGAGAACAAGCCTGGTCTACAAGAGTTAGTTCCAGGATAGGCTCCAAAGCTACATAGAGAAACCCTGTCTTGAAGAAAAAAAAAAAAAGTGCCAGACTGTGGCTAACTGAGGCAATAAAATGCCAAGCCACTCAAGCCTGAGGACTTGAATTTGATCCCCAGCACTAATATAAAAATCTGGCCCTGGAGGAGCACGCTTGCAGTGTCAGCTCTGGGGAGACAGAAGCATGAAGATCCCTGGTGTTTTCTGGTCTGACAGCTTAGATTCGTCAGCGCCTTCCAGGCCAGTGAGACACGCTGCCTCAGAAAGAGGTGGATGGCTTTGGAGGACCGACACCTCAGGCTGACCTCTGTCCTCCACAGGAACGAACCCTCCATGTCCTTCCCCACCTACCCCACAGTCTAGCTCTGCATCCTGGTCCCCAGCACAGGGTGGCCCACTTCTCCAAGCCAAATCTGGAGGCCCTGGTCATTCTCAACTCAAATACCTCCTCTCTGGGCAAGAACTGATAGGGGCAAGGTTGTGGGCCCTGTGGTGTCCCCTTCCTAGCTGACCTCAGCTCCATCCATGGCATCCACTTGGCCCTGTCTTGGCATTGGTGTGGACTGGGTGTCCCCCCACCCCGCACTGAGCCCTAAAAAACTGCCTGGAGACTCCAAGGAGGACCCAGGCCTCTTCAAAGCCAGGCTCCACGTCCTGTGGCCCCTCTGCCGACTAGTAACCTAGAAAAATTAAGGTGCCAGGTGTGGTCGCAAATACCTTTAATTTCAGCGGAGGCAGGTGGATCTCTCTGAGTTCAAGGCCAACCAGGTCCACACATTGAGTTCCAGGACAGCCAGGGCTGTTACACAGAGAAACCCTGTCTCAAAACAAAGCAAGGAAAAGTTACGGTAGAGGGGAGGCAGGTGGCAGAAGGTGGCCCCCCGCCGTGTTCCACCATTCCTGTGTACCACCCTCTCTGCAGGCCGTCACAGAGATCGACACCATTGCCATGGAGAAGAAGCGTATCCTGCAGCAGTGGACCACCAGTCTCATGGGCATGAAGCACCGTAACGAAGCGTACAGGACCGTGCTGGATGCGCTCAGGTACCACGCCCGGGAGGAGCTGCCCACAGGAACAGTGGGCGGGTGTGCCCAGGGCTGGAGGGTAACCAGCAGCACCACTCCACACAGGTGCTCCAGGGAGGGTCCTGCTGCCCGCCTCCATCCTTCAGTGCTGGGGCAGGGTGTCAGAAAGAGACATTCATCCATGGGAGACAAATGTGTCTGTCCCTTTTGACAGCCGTTTCACCATCTGAGCACCGTCTGCCCCTAGGGCTGCATACCAGCCAAAACCCTTTTTAATTCCCTCGAAAGGGAAGGGGTACGAGGTGGCACTTGGGCTGGAGAGGTTCCTCGATAACCAGAACCAACTAAGTGATGGGAATTTGGTTCCGCAGGTGGTTCACGGCTTACTGGCTGGTCCTCTCAAGCTTAGCACCCACAGAGGCTTGAGCGCTGAGGGAAAGAGTAGCTGCTGCTGGCCTACTAGGTGTTGAGTGCTAGAAAGATGGCTCATACCCTCCTGTAACTCTGGCTCCTGGAGATTCAACACTGTCTTCTGGGCTGCGAGCACGCGCACACACACACACACACACACACACACACACACAAATAAAAATAATTTTTTAATTTTTTAAAGAAATTATAAAGACCAGGGGTGCCAGGCGTTGGTGGCGCACACCTTTAATTCCAGCACTCGGGAGGCAAAGGCAGGCAGATCTCTGTGAGTTCGAGGCCAGCCTGGTCTACAGAGCGAGTTCCAGGACAGCCAGGGCTACACAAATAAAGAGCAGGGGTGCAGCTTAGTACAGATGGCCTGCCTAGCATGCACAAAGCCTGGGTTCTATTCCCTGCACTGCGAACAAAAAGACTGAGGTGTATATGACTGCTCACTTAAAAACAAACTTAACAAAAAACATAATATACCTTTATGTAGATAACACTGGATTAAAAATACCCATTTTCTTCCTGGTTTTTGTGGCTACACCTCATGGCTGTGCAGGCTCAGCCTGGGTCCTGACTGCTAGGTGCCATGCAGCTTTTCCTTATCATTCTCAAGCCAGAACTTCCAAAGAAACACATCCGAAGGCAGAGCCAAAGAGGACTGTGACAGTCACAAACCCCAGTGGCATCTCAAAGCCCCTGCCACCTTACCTATTCTCACCTGTTAGGAGCACACCAGTTAGACTGTGAAGAAAGTATCTTGTATTTTGTGGTTTTGCTTGCTTGTTTCTGAGATAGTCCCCCCTCTGTAGCCAAGGCTGTCCTGGAACTCGCTCTGTAGGCCAGGCTGATCTCAAATTCACAGAGATCCTCCTGCCTCTGCCTCCTGAGTGCTGGGGTTAAAGGTGTGCGCCACCACTGCCCCGCCAATACCCTGCACTTTAAAATTATGCACTCACAGAAATTTCCAGTGGAGATTTTAGTGACATATGTCCATACCTGCCCATGAAACCAGTAAAGGGGCCTCTGCCTCTAGCTGGAGCTGACACCAAGGTCCCAGGAGCAGGAGGTCACCTATCGAGAGGAACACTTGGCCCTAGGAATTTAAGGTCAACCTGGGCATCATACTGAGAGTCTGTTCTCAAAAATGACACCAACAAATGAGATAATGTGAGCCTGCCTGGCAGGACACTGACGGCTCCCTGTGGCTGTAGAGGGGCTGGGTGGGCATCTGGGAGATTTAAAGGCAGTCTGGCCAGGCATGGTGGTGAGTTCAAAGTCAGCCTGGGCTATGTAGTGGGGCTGTTAACATTCATGTTTAAATAAGAAAGGTAAGATACTGCCAATAGACTTCTCGGGATGAGAGCGGAGGAGTCTCCACACACAAATAAAACAAAAACCTCCTGTTAATCTAGAATCTGTGTGTTGGGGGAATTGTTTGTTTAGTAGCTCTGGTCATGGAGCTCAATGTATCATGCTTGCTAACAAGTGCTCTACCACTGGGTTACATCCTCAACTCTCTTTCAGTTTTTATCTATCTGTATAGAATCTATCATCTATCTATCTGTCTACCTATCATATATGTGTGTTTTGCCTACATGTATGTCTGTACAATACATATGTGTGCAGTGTACACAAAGGCCAGAAGACATCTGGTTCCTTGGACCTGGAGTTACGGATGGCTGTGAGCCACCATGTGGGTGCTGGGAGTTGAGCTCTCGGGTCCTCTGGAAGAGCAGCCTGTGCTTTTAGCCACTGAGACACCCCTCCAGCTCAGGTGCACACTTAAAACCCCAGGACTGCGGAGGTTGAGGCAGGAAGATCCCTAGGGTTCCCTGGCCAACCAGCTTAGCCATATCGCCGAGATCCAGGTTTAGTGAGAGACCCTGTCCAGCAAGATGGCTGAGATGGTAAAAGGCACCTGCTACCAAGTCTGATGACCCAAGTTCAATCCCCAGGACCCACATGATTGATGGAGAGAACTGACCCCCAAAGGCTGTTTACTGACCTGCACATACGCTATGGCATGCATACCTGGCCCTACACACACACACACACAAAAAAAAAAAAATTAACAATTTTTAATTAAAAATATAAGCCAGTTGTAGTGGCAAATGCTGTTGGATAAGCTCAAACCAGAGGCAGAAGGATCACAAGGTTGAGACCAGCCTAGGCCACAGGTTTGGCTCAGTGGGAAAAGACACAAGTTGTCCTCTGACTCCACACGTGTTGTGACACGCATGCATGAGCGCACACACAATAAGTAATGCACTACAAAAAAAAAAAAAAAAAAGGCAGAGAGGGACTGAGGAAGACATCCACACGCGTACACAAACACACTGTACTAGCTGGGTTTTGTCAGTTTCACACAGACTGCAGATACCCGAGAACCACAGCTGAGGTTTCACTGCCATCAGATTGGCTCCTGGACGTGCCATTTCTTTGTTAACGACGGATGTGGGCAGGGCTAATCCACTGTAGACCTTGCCACACCTGCACATCGTGTACGAAAGCAAGCTGAGCCGGGCGGTGGTAGCACACGCCTTTAGTCCCAGCACTGGGGAGGCAGAGGCAGGTGGGTCTCGTTGAGTTCGAGACCAGCCTGGTCTACAAGAGCGAGTTCTAGAACAGCCTCCAAAGCCACAGAGAAACCTGCCTCACAAAAAAAAAAAAAAAAAAAAAAAAAAAAAAAAGGCAAGTTTAGCAAGCCAGGGAGTAGCTTTTCTTTCATGTCCTCTGCTTCCAGTTCCTGCCTCCAAGTTCCCAGCTTGAGCTGCCTTGGTAATGGACTGTAACATGTAAGACAAACAAACCCTTTCCTCTCCAAGGTGCTTTTGGTCTGTTTTTTATCACAGCAATAGAAAAGCAAACTAGAAGACACACACACAAAAATAAATAGCAGTTAAGAGTTGGTGCTATCCTTCTCCTCCCCCCCCCGCCCCCCCGCCGGGCATTGGTGGCGCACGCCTTTAATCCCAGCACTCGGGAGGCAATAAAAAAAAAAAGAGTTGGTGCCCCCAAATTATTTCTCCGTGTATGGAATCCACTCTGGTGTCTAGCCTGTGATGGGCTTTGCTCTTCTGCTTTTGCAGGGAGTGTGAGCATCAGGCCAAGTCCATAGATGGTGAGATCGAAGCCTATAAGAGGTCCATCATGAAGGAGGAAGAGAAGAATGAGAAGCTGGCCCGCCTCCTGAACCGCTCAGAGACAGAAGCCATGCTGGTGCAGAAACTCACCACCCAGTGCTTAAGCAAGCAAGAGGCTCTGCAGAGTGAGTTCAACACTTACCAACTCGCCCTGCAGGACACCGAAGAAATGCTCAACAAGGGCAGTCTGGTGAGGCATGGCCCCCGCCCCAGGCCTCTGCTCCTGGCCAGCCTATAGGATACCCCAGGCAGTCCCTCCCATGGCTATTCCTTTGCAGGAACACTCAGCAGTCATGAGCGAACTCCAGGCCACCCGCCAGGCTGTCCATCAAGAGGAGGAGCTCCGGCAAAAGATGGATGCCTCCATCCTGGACAAGCTGCAGGAACACGGGACCTCCAGCAAGATAACCAAGTACTACCAACAGCTCCTTCGGAAGCTGCAGAAGGAAAATACCAACCTGGTAGGTGGTCCCCGGCTGACCAGGCAGGGGCTGGGCTGGAAGCAAAGGGTATCTGGGGGCTGTCCCTCATGACTTTGTTTCGAGCTGTCAAAGCAATGCTTTCTAGAATTTACTTATTTATTTTTGCTCTTTTGGAGGCAGGGAGGTCTCTCTGTGTGGTCCTGGTTGTACTGGAAATTGGTATGTAGACCAGGCTGGCCTTGAAACTCAGACAGGTCTGCCTGTCTCTGCCTCCCAAGTGCCAGGATCAAAGATTTGGGCCACCACACCCAAACCTATAATTTATCTTAATTAATTTAGTTTCTGTAGTGCCAGGCAAGTGCCACACCCCTGAAAGACCCTTAGTCTTCTTTGTCCTCCTCCGTTAAGGCGGGATCTCATGTAGCCCCAGCTAGCCTCAAACTTACTACTCTGTGTGTGTGTCTGTACACACACACACACACATACACACACACACACACACACACACACACACACACACACACACATATATATATCCTTGAATTTCTGATCCTCCTGCCCAGGCCACCATGCCCAGTTTATTGGGCCCTGGGGAGGGATGGAATGCAGGGCTCTGAGCGGTGGGCTGCATTCCGCCACGGTTCCCCAAGCCCTCTTCTTATTTATTGTGAGACAGGTCTCACTAGTTGCTGAGGCTGAGCTGAACTTATTCTGTAGCCCAGGGTAGGCTCAAACTTGTGATTGTCATGCCTTAGTCTGGCGAGCAGCTGGGATGGCAGATCCAGCTAATACTGTCTTATTGTTGAAAACCTGGAGAGTTTGCCTAGTTTACCCGGGATCAGGGAGGAAGGCAGAAGAGAACACAGGAAGACATCATGAAAACAATAGATGCTGTAGTCCTCCCATCCAGGAGGACTCCTAGATTTCTTCTCGTTCACACCCTCATGCTAACATTGCACTCTTGTTAAACGTCTGGTTTCAGGTTCACTTGGTTACATTTTTATTAGTTGCATTGACCTATGACACAGAGAGCAATGTTCACAGGCATTGTTGGGGACTCACTGTATTTTTCTGCTTTTCGTTTTACTTGACAACATCTAACACACTTGCCCTTGATGTTAGCCATTCCTCGACAACATAAACCTTCATTTTTGTGTGACCTTCACCACGAGAATGTCCCACTGTGACTGACAGGTCTCTTGTTAGCCGCTTCAGGCTAACTCGGGATTTTCAGTGTTTTGAGCAGACATCGGGGTCTGCAAATGTCTACACTCTGAGGACAAGCTGCCAAGCCACCAGTCCTGGGCAGAAGCCACCACCCAGGAGGCTGGCTTGCCCAGGAGGCCTGCAGTCTTGCCTTTGACTGCCAAAGCCTGGGGGCGCCACACACTTGAAAATTCACTCAAGGGCTTTGCTTTTTCCTCGGCTACATGGGAAACTGCCTTTGGAAAAAGCAACTCACTACTTGAATCTCTCTCTGTGTCTCTCTCTGTGTCTCTCTGTCTCTGTCTCTCTCTCTCTGGCTCTCTATCTCTCTCTCTGTCTCTCTCTGTGTCTCTGTCTCTGTCTCTCTTTCTCTCTCTCTCTCTCTTGTTCTTGAGACTGTGTCCCACTCTGTATCTGAGACCATCCTGGGAGTCACTATGTAGTACATGCTGGCATCAAACCCACCGCTATCTGCATGCCTCTGCTTCCCAAATGCTGGGATTACGCTTGAGCCCCCGCCCCCTCATTTTTCTCTTTGCTTCTTCATATGGTAGGGTCCCGCTAGACCTGTCTTTGGTGGCCCTGGGGAGCGCTGCAGCCTGTGTCAGGCTGAGTTTGGGGAACACAGGGGCCCACCCAGGCTTAGACAGGGGTGTCTCCGCAGTTAACACCCAAATCCAGCTCCCTTGAGGACCTGGTCCTCCATCTAACTAGGGCCTAAGGCCCTGTGGGCTTAGCTGTCTCTCCTGTCACCTTGAAGGTGGCAGAGGATGGGACCTGCCACCACTGCCACATCCTGTCATGGTGGCTGCTTGACCGGAGTCAGTATGGCTGCTGTCACCGGGCCCTGGAAATGATGGCAGCCTCGGCAGTCCCACTCCACACTCACTTTTGACCTGACTGTGCAAGGAAAAGGGACACAGCCCCGCTGGAATGTCCAGGCTGACATAGCTCAAGTCCTTCCCCTGGGAACAGGGTAGGCAGAAAGACAAGGTGTCCCAGGTGCTTTTGCGACACTAAGGAGCATGGTGGATGTGAAGTAGCCTGCCTGGCCCCATTGTTGCAAGGCTAGAATTGTCCCCTGAGGTCTCCTGTTGCCAGGTCCCCACCCTGCCCCTTCCTAGAGTGGGCATGTACTATCACCACCTCTTCCCAGCAGAGGGCAGTAGAGAGTCTTTGGCTAACAACTGTTGTCTATTACTGTGGGTTTTCCAACTGAAGGGGAGCCCTTGGAAGGGGACACTGAGTACTCAAAAGCCCTGTGCACCAGTGACAGCTGGGGCAGAAAGAGGATCAGAGGGTGGCAGTCACCATTCTGTCTGGGGCTGATGCAGAGGGAAGGGGGGACGGGTGTCAACGCAGGATCTCATTATAAACTCAGGCAGAGCTGAGGTCCCAGGGTCCCAGGGAGACCAGGATGCTTTCCACAGGTTGAAGAGGGTAGTAGTAGAGGCAGCGTATTCTGGCCAGTCACAGAGTTAGACTATGCCATAATCTGAAAGGCGTCAGGAAACATGCCGCTAATGGCACATTGCACAGCCATTGAAAATTATATAAGAGGCTAAAGGTAAAGACACACACACCATTTATCTCAGCACCTGGGAGACAGGCAGATGGATCTCTATGAGTTTGAGGCAAACCAGCACTAGACAGTGAAACCTTATTTTAAAAAAAATTACATAAGAGTACGAGACGGGGGTGGGGGTGCTGGAGAGATGGCTCAGAGGTTAAGAGCACTGGCTGCTCTTCCAGAGGTCCTGAGTTCAATTCCCAGCAACCACATGGTGGTTCACAACCATCCATTATGAGATCTGGTGTCCTCTTCTGGTTTGCAGGCAGATATGCAGACAGAACAGTAGATACATAATGAATAAATCTTTAAGGAAAAAAGAGTGAGACAGATCTGTCAGACTAAAGAGGTCAGTGGCATGTGGCCCCACCCCTGCTCTCCTAAGCAGTGTGGGATGGTGGGAGGCATGGGTGGGTGTGCATGACACTGGAAGAAGGGTTCCAGGTGGCCTGGTGCTGGCTTTGTGACAGAATCATCCTTGATTCAACCCTTTCCCCTCTGCACTTATGCTAGGCTTGTTTATAAAGAAAACCCAGCACTGATAGCTTTCTATTTCCTGTCCACTCAGCTCACCTTCCTCCCTCGCTCCCTCCCTCCCTCTCCCCCTCCTCCCCTATATAACCCTGGCTGGCCTAGAACTCAATATGTAGACCAGGGTAGTCTCAAACTCATAGTGATCCTCCTGCCTCTACCTCCCAGGGGCTAGGATTAAAGACATGGACCAGCCAGGAGGCAGAGGCAGGCAGATCTCTGAGTTTGAGGCCAGCCTGATCTACAGAGAGAGTTCCAAGACAGCCAGGGCTACACAGAGAAACCCTGTCTCAAAAAAAAAAAGAAAAAAGAAAAAAGAAAAGAAAAGAAAAAAGAAAAAAAGAAAGGAAGGAAGGAAGGAAAAGAAAGACATGAACCAGTCCCCCATTTGAGAGAGAGAAAGAGGGAGAGTATGTGTGTGTCTTGTAGCCCACACTGTCCTCAAACTCACTATATAGCCCAAACTGGCCTCGAACCTCCCACCTCAGCCTCCCATGTGCTAGGATCACAGGCAGGTGCCACTACACCCAGCTCTCTGTTTTGCAGGCCGTCTCCAGGTGTAAACAAGCCCCTTGTAGGTTCTCACAGCACAGGACCACTGAGCTTCCTCATGACAGCATGCAGGGGTTGCTCCAGAACACGTGTACAGTGTCAAGGAGGCAGCAGTCCCGCTCACACCTGTTGCCCTCCATGCCCTCAGGTGACACACCTTTCAAAACTTGACGGCGACATCGCTCAGGCCACCCTGGACATCACCAACACCAACTGCAAGGTGGACATGCATAAGGCAACGCTGGCGGAGATGGACAAGGAGGTAAAGCGGCTCAACGACCTCATCACCAACAGCGAGAGCGAGATCGCCCGCCGCACCATTCTCATCGAGAGAAAGCAGAGCCTCATAAACTTCTTCAACAAGCAGCTGGAGCAGATGGTGTCCGTGCTGGGGGTGAGGCGCGGCCCCGGGCCCCTCGCCATGTGCCTTGGGACTGCCGACAGCAGGCACCCCTCCTAGCTCCCCCCCATTCCTCTGTGTGTGGGTGGCGTGGCTGGGCTGGGTGACAGGGCTGCTCCCCGCGCTGCAGTGGGATCTGAATTGCATATTGTTGGCATCCGGCAGGAACCTTCTTTTCATTTTGTTGTCACTGTGTGGCCCAGGTGGACCTAGGCCTTGAGGTCCCGAAGCCTCAGCTTCTGGAGGCTGGGCGCTGCAACCCTGACTCCTTTTGATTTTCTTCATGGCTTGTGAGCCACACAGACACACGGGTGGTGGGCTGGACTCACTGCTGCACTGGGCAAAGTGGTTTAGTCAGTCTGGGTCTCACCTATCACTCAGGCACCTGTAACCTAAGCAGCCACCTTGGGCTTCAAGTCCTCAAGCAGAGCAGGCAGTCCAGGAAGCCCTGGTCTGCGGTCAGAGGACAGAATACAGAGTCTCCTCTCAGGTCAAAGGCTGTGCCCACAAGGACCTGGGACCTCAAAGTGAAAGATAGGTATTCTCAGGACTCCTGAGGACTGTCTGAGCCCTTGGGGTCAATGCCTTGAATTCACAATTCTCCATAACCCACCAAAAGAAGGAGCAGGCTCAGTGGGTAAAGTGCTCGCTTCAGCACCCACAGTAAACACCAGGCATGGCAGTTTGTAGCTGTAATCCCAGCACTGGGGAGGCAGGGACTGGAGGATCCCTGTGGCCTGCTGGCCAGTCAGTCTAAGTAATCAATAAAGTCCACATTCGACGAGAGACCCTGTCTGCACAAAATAACCCTCAGTGTGGCACTCTCACCTCTGTGGCCTCGCGATCGTGTGTGCGCGCGCGCGCGCGCACACATATACACACTCACTCACACACACTCACATGCACACATTCACACAGGTGCGCACACGCTCGCGCACACACTCACAAACACACAGTCGCGCACACATGTGCACAGGTATACATACCACGTGTAAATAATAAGAAAAGCCTTAGATCCCGGGGCTCACCCTGCACTCTGGTTAAATCCCTCCAGGGGGAAGAAGCTGGACCCCTGGAGCTGGAGATCAAAAGGCTGACGAAGCTGATTGAAGAGAACAACATAGGGGTGTCAGATGCCCAGCTGACCTGGCTGCGGCTGCAGCAGGAACTGGTCCAGGTCACGCAGGAGCGGGAGGAGCAGCTGGTGTCCCTGAACCAGCTCAAGAAGGACATTCACATCATGGAGCAAAAGAAGCTTCGCATAGAGAGTGAGCCCTGGGGGGGCGGCGCCCTGGGGGGCGGGGGCGGCGCCCTGGGGGGCGGGGGCGGCGCCCTGGGGGGCGGGGGCGGCGCCCTCCCAGCCACACCAGTCCCAGACCAGGCTCCCC